AAATTGCGAGTAAGTGTGCTTGAAAACTGTCTCTTATACACATCTAGATGTGTATAAGAGACAGATTTGAATACAGTGTGGAAATATAAGTAGATTGTGAACTGATTGTTCATTGGGGCGATGGAAAATATTATTAATGCAACTGATCGATTTTAGCTAATACAGTATATACTCAAACAAAACATTTTTGGCCATTTTGATTTGGTTAATAATAATCTCATTACTTGCTTAATGGCAAATAATCAAAAGCAAATATACATAACGCCACTAGCAGTGCAGTCGGGCCTAGACGTCTATAGGCATTGACCTACCAATGTGCCTTTTGATTTTTCAGGTCATTGGCTTTGGTGAAAAGGAAAAAAATCTACCCACATCTTGTGGCGATGCAAACAGGCTTCAAAATGGCGAGACAACTGACGGGGAAAAAACTATGCAAATGACTTTCCTACCGTATGATGGAAACTCAATAAAGCATATTGGAAGGTTCAAGGAGTGTTTGGAGATTTATCCAGTGACTGTTATTAACAAATAAAGTATAAACAAAAATGGGGAACAAACAATAAGTTTGATGGTGGTAATCAGTACTGGTGGTAATGCAATAAGCCAATTCGTGGTTCAAATGCGCATGCCCGTATCCATGGTAAATTGACATAAAACCTGTTGTGTGAATGCTAGTTTATGTTGTCGCGGTTCGAACTACGAATTGGCCAATTGATATTGTAGATTTTGTTTATTAAGTACACAGTTCTCGCTGCCCATGGCCCAGATATGTTAACTGAATAAATTGGCTTATAATGGACTTGGGGCAATTATATAATTTAAACAAAAATGATTTTAAAGTTGCTAATTGGGTTATATTTTTGTGAAGTAATTAGTTATCACTTAATTTAAATTAGTTTGCTTCAGGATTTTCTAAAAATATTTTGTGTCATTTTCTTGAAATGAAAATTGAATAACTGTACAGATATTTACTGCCAAGGAAAATAATATCTGACTTACTTGGTGTCTTAAATAGACCAGGAATGAATATTACCTTAACGTTAACGGATGACGTTGTAATTTATTTATTTTGCGTTGCGGAGTACGTTAATTTTAGGATTCTACGTGCTCGACGTACATGTTGATGCTAAACCTAGGGTAAAAGTCATCTTATTCACTGACCCTCAGAGAGAGGGTGTCTTATTACCTAAAACCACATTTTACCTCATATGCTATTGTAACTTCATCGATGGTCATTATACCTTTATTCACTGGACTCAAAATCACCAAATCATTATTGCACAACGTCTCGTGAGTACTCAATACTTCATACTTTGTAACTTTTATTTAGTTGAATAGTTTTAGAGGATTTAATTAGTTTAGAATGGCTTTATAAGTGATAAAAATCAGTTTAAATGCATACAGTAGTGTATAGGGCTAGTATGCCTCAGTTATGCAGCCTTGGGTGCATTGCTTACTGTTACATAATCCCCCTAAGGTGATTTCTTTTGCTTGGTATGCTGGGTGCTTAATGTTACAGTGTATACAATATTTACTTACTTCAGTAGTATAGATAATACCTTGTTTTTAGTTAGAAGATAATTACAGCATTGATTATGAACTTAAATAGTTATGCTATATTGTTATTCTTTTATATTTTAGTCATTCGTGATTGTGAAAATGTGATCGTGATCTAAGTTTATTAAGAATTATTATTGTGGATTCCGTTGGATAATTTTGTATGGATAAGGTGAACGTGGGGAACGTGAATCGTTAATTGATTTGTTTTATCGGAATAAAGAATCACGCATTGAAAACGTTGGCCTGGATGGTGATTGTTTTGAACATTGAGTCTTACATCTTATAAATTAGAGCCAACATTAAGCTGTTGGTCATGTGTTCTTAAATTGCGAGTAAGTGTGCTTGAAAATGAACTGGTGAAAAAGAAAGATAAAAATACAATAGGGCCTACTTTATTTTAAATGTACATGTCAATACGATTTAATGAGCCCAAAAAATATGCTTGGGAAACTTGGGAAAAAAAACGGCAGTGGCTATTATTACACCAGTCTTAATGAATTACTAAATATATAGCCTGCCCATGGGTCTAGGTCTATATGTAACATATTTTTTTTGTATTTCTTAATTGGTTTAGTGTATCAAGGTATTTTGAGAACTATTTACATGAAGACTAAACACATGGCGTCTTTTGATGTTGTTGTTCGTGTTGACTACACTGTTTGTAGTCAATTCTTTTTCTTCTTATTCTTCAATGAAATACGAATGGTCAGTCAAGTCTGCCGACAAGAAGCCGACAGGAACGGGAATCCAAGATCAAGCATGCGATGTTCCGCCATCAGGCTAATTCAAGAGAAGCGAAACCGTATGAAATACATCCGAGTTGATTCCACAAGCCTCCATCTGCCAAAACATTTGTTACCTCTCAAAAAATCTTCTAATACCTGGTTTTCTAATAATGCCTCCCAGATGTTGCACTGTGAGGATATTCTGGAGATAAGTCTGGTGAAACGAATCGGAAAAGGTACCACCAAAGAGGTGTGGAAGGCGACTTATCAGCAGAAAGAAGTCGCTGTAAAGTTAGTGTCTAAGTCCGTCGATGACATAAGGACGTGTATGAAAAGAGTACGAGCTGATGAGGAGGAGAGACGAAGGTGCTATACATATGCTAATTACAAACTGATGAAAGAAATATCACTGCTACTGGATTTACAACATTCAAATATAATCAAGGTACTGTATGAATGGGGGGTATAACACACTAAAAGCCCAATCACACTTACTGTACTGGCCCAGGGCCCCATTGACTATGACCGACTCAAAACGACTGTTGCCTTCACGGTTAGTATTTTAAGTCGGCTCATGGTCACACTGCGAACCTCCACACTACCTCCTTTGTGCCAGGTTTTGCGTGATGTCAAAATTTACCGCTGTCAAAGCAACCTTGGCGACCCCAGTTCGGTTGACGTTTCGATATGAAGACGAGTCGGCCCAGGTCCAGGGTGGTTTGGGCCGGCTTACAATTTATTGATTGTTCACACTTAAAAAAGTGGCACTGAGGCTGTCCTGAGTGGACGTAACTATTATGTGTGATTGGGACCCAAGAGTATTCTATGGAAGTTCGGAACTTATGTATAGTGGGGTCATTTTGGTGGCAATCTTGTCATGAAGCCAGAAAACAAACCTGTTTCAGAATTCTTTAAGTGAAGAGTCACAAACACATAGCTACAGTACCATGCATACAGTTTACAGTAGAGTCCTTATCAATAATAGTAAAAATTATTATGAGTACTTTAATTAGCCATCATTTGAAAATGATATCTGGCCATCTCATATGCACATTGTCTATTAGGTGTTAGTGTCTTCATACCGTACTAAAATGTACATTATCTTTGCCTATTTAAATTTATAGTAAAACTATCTTCCACAACTACTGTATTGTTGTCCCTCCACACTTCATAGCCTACCAAATGATTATATACTATAGGCCTACTTATTTTTTTTTTTCTTTTCTGTTCTATTTTGATTTATTATTACCAATCTTTTGATTTCTTGACAACTATTTTCCATACTGTAATTTTGTGTAATACCAATTCTTCTATTGAGATTGCAGGCATTTGGGAGTGCACTGAGCATTCAGTACTTATAATACGTCAAGAAGGGCAAACATCATTTCTTACCATTTCTCCCACCTTTCTTGATTTTTCTTCTTTTTTTTTTTCATTTCTCTTTTCCTTTTCCCCTTTCTTTTCCTTTCATTTTCTTTCTTTTTCTTTCTTTTACTTTTTGTTTCCCTTTCTAATAATTATTAAAAATATATTATGATGATCAGGGATAGAACAAGTGATTATAAACATTCTGTTATCCAAATGGTTTCCTGTAGATCCTTGGATACTGCATTCTTCAAGATGAATCAATCTTCGGTGATGATCATAGCATCGTTTCTGTTGTTGAGATCGGGGAGAGAATAACAAGAAAAAAAGTCTTGGGCATGTCGTGGACAAAGCGAATGCAGGTAAGAATCAAAAGACCAACAGAACAAAAACGGATGTAAAACCCTTAATTATAAAAACAAGTGTACCTGTGATAATCAAAACAAGAAAGTACAATTATTTGAATTTATTTTGCCTATCTACAGTATATTGAAAGTATAATTATAAATACTTTATATACAGTGTCAAAGAGAAGCCAAACCAGTCACTTGTCGCAAAGGTGGATTTTTAGTTATTAATACAGGATTAAACAGTAAAATGAGAGCTAAAAAATGGTAAAAGAATCATTAAATCCGACATTTTGTTATGAAGTTACAGGAGTTTATACAGCTGTTTAAAGAACAATATTTGAGAAATTAGCCTTTAAATTTTAGGATTTCAGGCAGAAACCATCAAAAATTGTTGCTTTAACATTGAAAATGGGGAAAATAACAGCATAGCATGATATGTAGATAATAAATGTTAGTTTAGTGAAAAAAAATACTGATTTAAAAAAATTTTGATATCCGATTGCCAGGATGTTTTGGTCATTATCTCTGAAACAGGATTTGCGACGAGTGACTGGTTTGGCTTGTCTTTGCCACATATTTTTTGTAATTGGGCCTACTGTAATAACATGGAGGAAATAATTATTTCCTCCATGGTAATAATAACTTGAAAATGCTGATTCTTTCACTTACTGTATCTGTAACAGTTGATTTTATATAAAATCACGGACATGACATAGTTTTTATTTATTTTTTAAAGATATTTATATATTCTTAGCTGTTTTTAAAAATGGCATTAATGCTATAGATTTATATAAGAAATTTCTATTTTTCAAACCTTGAGGTAACTTGAACTCACTTGACTTACAATTTTGATCGACAGAGTAATATGTTTCTGGCAAATTTTGGGTATGTTAACTCTAAAATTAGGAATATGCTTGTTCATAATTACTGTACCAGCTTTTAATGGATTTCCAATCATGGTTTGACATAATAAAATTGAAAATATCTACAGATTACATAGAGAGTTATTCAAAGAGTATGGCTAATTCCAAATTGTACCTTACTTCCTCATGTTGCTTGTTGTATTGATATCAAAACTATTGCTAGCTATATGCTGTATTACTTTCATATTAACAAGGCTCTTTAATTACACTTCAAAAGTTTACCACATTTAACTAAAAATTAAAATGGATCTCTTTGGATCATTAGGGGAAAATTTTAGAATGTTCTCATCTCATTTTAACATGCTTACCAATTTGGTAATACAGGTCTTACTCTAATGAAAGATCCCTCCAATTATTAATATACCACTTTTTTGTGGTCCCAAATTTACAATTGTCTTTTATCTTCATTATTCTAATTAGAGACCAAAGCTGCTAAAGACCATGAAAACCCCGGTCCCAAAAGTGGTCTTTAATTGGAGGGAGACCTTAGTTTGAATAAAATCCATAGAGATATAATGAGAATACTAGAGCGCTAACAGCAATGTATTCGATGTTCGAAATACGCAGAGCTGTGTGTGTGTACCATCCAAGATGGCTGCCATAGATTCAGCCAATCAAATTTCGCCTGAGCACTATCATTTTCAATGGCGCCCTCAATTTACACAGAAAGTTCAGTATACAGCTAGTTACCTGTATTTTGAAACTCGAGCGTTGCGGTGTATGGGTATAATGTACACGATTTTAATTCTTTTTAATATTTGAATAAGATGCTCTACTTGGCC